CATAAGAAAAGACCCTAGCGGGCTGGAGAGATGGCTCAGAGGTTAAGAGCACTGACTGCTCTTCCAGAGGTCATGAGTTCAATTCCCAGCAACCACATGGTGGCTCACAGCCATCTACAATTCAATCTGGTGTATATGTAATAAATAAATCTTAAAAAAAAGAAATGTTTAAAAAAAAAAAAGAAAAGACCCTAGCTAAACAAGGAACCCCCTGACCACAGAATACATGACCAGAGACCATAGGCAGCTCCCCGAAAGAAAGGAAGCTCGAACCCACGAGCACCTGTGTCAACATCTGCCCCTACCCCCTTGTCTTGAGAAAACTGGAAACCAGATAGCCTCTTGCCCTACTGGTCGTAAAACTCTTAGACCACAGGATGTGCACAGATCGTAAGCCCCTGGCCCACAGGATGTGTCAATTAATTTTACCTAAACAGGCAACCGACCATTACTGTCTTCTTCGCTCAATACCCTTTGTTTCATAATAACCTTGTATGGAAACTTTGTACCATAAGTAATCTCTGTAACCCTGGGAAACTTGCTAACTGAGACTTTGTGATCTCACAACCCGCCTCCCCCCCTTTTCTCTTTAAAAACACCTTGTAATTGTAAGAAGGGGCCTTACTCTCCTGATAGAGTGAGGTCCCAGCCGGGTTAGTTACTAATAAAAAAACCTTTTGCACTTGCAGTCAGATATCAGTGCTCCTTGGCAAAGTTTTGGGGTCTCTTGTTGGGCACAACACTGAGGGTTTTTTTTGTTTGTTTGCTTGCTAATTAGAAACAAGCTTCTTCCTTCTTTCCTTCCTTTCCTTCCTTCCTTCCTTATGTATACACTGTTCTGTCTCCTGCATATATGCCTGCAGGTCAGAAGAGGGCACCAGATCTCATTACAGATGGTTGTGAACCACCATGTGGTTGCTGGGAATTGAACTCAGGACCTCTGGAAGAGCAGTCAGTGTACTTAACCTCTGAGCCATCTCTCCAGCCCAACACTGAGGTTTTAAAGGAGCCACGTGCTGTAAAGGGTCCCTTTTCTGTCACTCCACGGTCACTGATGTCTCTGCCCTCTGCGGGTCAGATTCACAAGGTTCTTTTTGTTCAGGCATCCTGCAGTTCTAGTGGAGAGAGGCCTCAGCTCTCTGTTTACCTTGAGGCTCTGGCAAAGGTGTTATGAAGCGTTCATACACCTGAATCTCTGTTGCACTAGAGTCTAGAGTGGTTCTCAACCTTCCTAATACTGAAACTCTTTAATATAGTTCCTCATATTGTGGTGACCTCCAACCATAAAATTATTTCATTGCTACTTCATAACTGTAATTTTTTTATTTGTTATTTTTTTGTTTTTCGAGACATTATTTCTCTGTATTGCTTTGGAGCCTGTCCTGGAACTCGCTCTGTAGACCAGGCTGGCCTCAAACTCACAGAGATCTGCCTGCCTCTGCCTCCTGAGTGCTAGGATTAAAGGCATGCGCCACCAACACCTGGCATAACTGTAATTTTTCTAATGTTATGAGTTGTGATGTAACCCTCGGATTGATATGCAGGCTATCTGATGTATGACTCCCGTGTGGGTCTTGGATATGAAATGCATTTGGGGAGTCTGGACCCACAGGTTGAGAACCACTGCTTAAGACTCTGGTGGGTCATGTACTCAATATATCAGCAGTAGACAAAGTCATAGCCATTAGGACAATTCCTCCTGAGTCCTGGGCCCTTGGCTTTCATACCCCGGCAGGCCCTCTTTCCAGCCCTTCTATTGGTGGCTTCTGCGTTGCTCGATGTGTTTATATGGGGTTTTGTTCAGTGACCCTTGCCTGGTATTGCTATAGAAGTGGACATTAGGTGAGACTTGTGGGGGAGGGGTGGGGGCCCAACTAAGGGGAGCTCTTTCTAGGGACAGCCATCAGCTAAATGGGGAATGTCATACCTGGGGAGTTGAACAAGCACAGGAGTCGGATCCTTCTGGCAGGCAGACCCCCACGAAAGGTTAGGGGGGGCTGTACGGAGGCTGCTATTGAGGCGCCAACCTTCTGAAAGATGCTGGACAAGAGTGGGCTGGCACATAGGAGGAGGGGACAGTAACAAGGCGGATGGTGGCAGCAGTGCAGGCACAGTCAACTTGGGACCTGAACTAGAGTGAGAGGAGGACACTGTGGGGTCAGTTCATAGTCCTGACAGGTGGCCTGGTCCGTGTGGCCTGGAAGAGGCAAGCGGGTGGGGCTGGGAGGCCGGGCAGCGCCCTGAGCTTGGTTGGATGGAGCCGGGCAGCGCCCTGAGCTTGGTTGGATGGAGCCGGGCAGCGCCCTGAGCTTGGTTGGATGGAGCCGGGCAGCGCCCTGAGCTTGGTTGGATGGAGCCGGGCAGCGGGCTGAGCTTGGTTGGATGGAGCCGGGCAGCGCCCTGAGCTTGGTTGGATGGAGCCGGGCAGCGCCCTGAGCTTGGTTGGATGGAGCCGGGCAGCGCCCTGAGCTTGGTTGGATGGAGCCGGGCAGCTCCCTGAGCTTGGTTGGATGGAGCCGGGCAGCGGGCTGAGCTTGGTTGGATGGAGCCGGGCAGTGGGCTGAGGAGTCTCCCTTGTGTAATGTCTGCCACCTTGGGCAGCCGACAGACTTGGGGCGCCCTGCAGAGTGTGGGGAAGCAGGGAAAGGAAGAAGCGACCGGAGAAACCACTGAGCACCGAGTCAAGAGGTTACAGCTTCTGACTTCGGGGTCGTCCAGCCCATCTAGAAGTAATCCTTTGCCCCCTTGCCCTTAACAAGAACCGTTCTGTTGTTTTTTGTTTTGTTTTTTAAACTATTTTGACTTAGGGGGGCACCACCCAGCTCCCAAATAATCACACACACACACACACACACACACACACACACACACACACACACACACACACACGCTTATTATTACTTACACATGCCCAGCCTTAGCTTAATTTGTTTCTTGCCAGCTTTAAATTATCCCATCTACCTTTTGCCTCTGGGCTTTTTCCTTTTCTTTCTTCTATAATCTTACTTTCCCTCTTACTCCTTGGTTGGCTGTGTGCCTAGCCCCTAGTGCCCTCCTCTCCTCGTTCTCAGATTTCTCCTCCTATTTATTCTCCATGCCTCCCAGCCCTGCCTATCCTTGCTCCTGCCTCCCTGTTGGCTGGTCAGCTCTTTATTAGATCATCGGGTGTTTTAGACAGGCAAACAATCACGGCGTTAAACAAATGCAGCATAAACAAAAGCAACACATCGTTAAACAAATGTTCCAGAGCATAAACAAATAAAAGTTCTCACAACACTTTTTGTTTGTAGAGGAAAGGTTCCTGTTTGTGTGTGTGTGTGTGTGTGTGTGTGTGTGTGTGTGTGTGTGTGTGTGAGAGAGAGAGAGAGAGAGAGAGAGAGAGAGAGAGAGAGAGAGAGAGAGAGGTGTGCTCACAGAGTCTAGAAGAGTTCTTCAGGAGCCTCCCTCTCACACACTCTGCCTGTTCCTTCGAGGCAGGAATTCCCTGAACCTGGGCACATGTTTTCTCAGCCAGACTGGAAACCATCATGCCCCAGTGATCTTGCGTCAATCCTCCCTGCGCTGGAGTTGGTTACAGGTGTGCACAGGACACCTGGCTGTGACAGTAGGTGCTGGCATCTAAACTCTGGTAGTCTTCATGATTGTACAGCAAGCATTCTTTTTTTTTTTTTTTTTTTTTGGTGGGGGGTGGCTTGAGACACGGTTTCTCTATGTAACAGCTCTGACTGTCCTGGAACTCTGTAGACCAGGTTGGTCTCGAACCCACAGAGATCTGCCTGCCTCTGCCTACCGAGTGCTGGAATTAAAGGCGTGTGTTGCTGCTGCCGCCGCCGCCACCGCCGCCACTACCACCACCCATCTAAAATGAAAAGCTTTTAAACTCAGTGATAGCTTTAATTTGGCTCAGTGAGCTGCTTTGTGTGCTGAGGTGAACATCTGCTCACACGGAGCCTCAATCTCCACTCAGGGAGTCTCAGGAGGCCCATTTGTCCTGCCTGGATGACTCCCACCGGAGCTATGAGAGGCCATTCAGAGGGCCAAGCTGGATGGATGTGGTTGTTCTGGGGACCTCAGGCCTGGTGTGGGACCTTTCTCTCCCTGACATGGAGAGAGGGAGAGCTTGCTAGCTGGTGTTGTGGAGGCTGGCTGAGGTGAGCTGCCCAGCTGGGTCTTGGTCTCTCTTTCTCAGGGGCGGATTAGAAGGCCCACAGGGCCGTGCTCCCTCTGCACAGACAGCTGCTTGCATCACTCTCTTTGACCCCTTTCATCAGGTGGTCCCTCTGGGATGCTCCATGAACCCTTCAGTGAGCACCGGCAAGGGACAGGGGTGTTGCCACCCTGACCTTTTGGGCAATTTTCCTGAGTTAGGGAACAAAGGAATCCCTCAATCAGGCTTGTGTGTCCCTAAAATGCAAACCTCTGGCTGGTTTGGACACATCCTCTCTTTGACTGCCCTGCCCAGGATTCTCTCTCTCTTTTTTATTTTTTATTTATTTATTTATTTATTTATTTTTAAATTCATTTATTATGTATACAGAGTTCTACATGTATGTCTGCTGACCAGAAGAGGGTCTCATTACAGATGGTTGTGAGCCACCATGTGGTTGCTGGGAATTGAACTCAGGACCTTTGGAAGAGCAGTCAGTGCTCTTAACCTCTGAGCCATCTCTCCAGCCCCTTTTATTTATTTTTTTATTTATTATGTTTACAACATTCTGCCTCCATGCATGCCATCATGCCACGAGAGGGCACCAGATCTCATTACAGATGGTTGTGAGCCACCATATGGTTGCTGGGAATTGAACTCAGGACCTCTGGAAGAGCAGCCAGTGCTCTTAACCTCTGAGCCATCTCTCCAGCCCTGCCCAGGGTTCTATACCACCTGGATGGTCTCATCTGTCACCCTCTCAAGTCAAGACTCTAGCCATTGTTGGGACCCTTGCCCTGGGTTCTGGGGGTCACAAACAGGCTCTCACCCACCTCTTCTCTTTGCCCTGCAGGTTTTGGGGTTTGAGGTTGATGCGGTGAACTCTGTGCAGTTTTCCAACCATACAGGTAGGACTACAAGGTTGTAGTCATGGTGGATGTGAGCATGGCATGTTACCTGACTCTGAGGGAAGTAGGTGCCACCTCTTGTGACCAAGGGATGGAACCCAGAAGTGCCACTCTGTGTAGGGCCCACCCCACACCATGGCTGATGTGTGACCACTGTTCTGGAGCTGACTGGTGGGAAAACCTCCGTGCCTCAGTTGCCTTCTCTGTTAAGCTAACTGTCATAGCGTCTACTGTTGTAAGCGAGCTGAACAGGTAAACCACAGGGAGTACTGCTGTATCCTCCTGCTGACAACTAGTGACCTGCAAGTCTGTGTGCTTTTCCACTCTGGCAATATCTTGGGCTCAGGAGAGGGGTTGGGTGGTCTGCCTTAGGATTCTATTGTTGAATATAGAAGTAAACGGCCGTGTGCCCTCGTGTCCCTATTCACATCTGGGACACAGTTCCACAGGGCTACCTAGGCCACTGAGTGTCTGCTGCCCTGGATTGAATCGACAGAAACCAGGCATGGCAGGTGGAGACCACTGTTCAGCTCCCACAGTGTAGGAACTGGGTGCTTCCAGGGTGTTGGGGTGCCACTGACTGAGCACTGGGCCCAGAGCATCCAGTCTGGGCCTAAGGCCAGCCCTCAGAAGAACAGCTGGCTGGGTCTCCTCATGGAGGGCAGGTGGTTGTCATCATCCACTGAGATGGTCACCAGGGAAACCCGGGGCTCCCACACCCACAGCTTAGCCTGTTTTCTCCCTGCAGGCTATGCCCACTGGAAGGGTCAAGTGCTGAATTCCCAGGAACTGCATGAGCTGTATGAAGGCCTCAAGATGAACAGTGTGAATAAGTATGACTACGTGCTCACTGGTGAGGGTCCCCAGCCTGCTGGTGACATGTCAAGCACATAGCCTCTCCCCAGGCTCAGGCCTGGTCCCTGACTCTTTTCCAGAAGGTCATGTTGTGTGCTAGGCACCAACACTTTCTGGACACCCTGAGAGTTCTGCCACCCCGGTTGAAGGTGAAACACTACATGAGTTCATCTGTTGTGTTTCTGGTTGTATTTTCTATGTATTGAGTCTGCTTACTAATTTATTGTGTGTGTGTGTGTGTGTGTGTGTGTGTGTGTGTGTCCATGTCCACACAATTACACGTACATGGTGTCACAGTGTGGGTACAGAGGACTTCCCACCATGTGGGTCCCAGAGAGTGAACTTAGGTTTTCATATATAACAGCAAGCATCCCTACTCAGTCAGCCATCACACGGGCCCCTATTTAGTTTTTTGTTTGTTTGTTTTTGAGACAGGGTTTCTTTGTGTAACTGCCCTCCCTGGCTATCCTGGAACTTGCTTTGTAGGCCAAGCCTTGTCTACATAGTGTTAGCCAAGGCTCTATAATGAGGCCCTGCCTCCACAATTAAATAAATATGTATGTATGTATGTATGTATGTATGTATGTATGTGTTCTATGTATATAGATGTTTCATCTGCATGTGCATCTGCACACCCGAAGGGGGCATTGGATCCCCTGGGACTACAGTTAGAGACAATTGTGAGCCACCACGTGGGTACTGGGAATGGAACCCAGGACCTCTGGATGGATGGCCAGTGCTCTTAATTGCTGAGCCAGCTGTCTAGCCCCTGAATAAAAAAATTTTAAAGAGACACAGGAGCTGAAAAGGTAGCTCAGTGGTTAGAAGCAAGTACCACTCTCGCAGAGGACGCAGGGTCAGTTCCCAGGTCACACATGGCGGCTCACAACTGCCTGCAACTCCAGCTCCAGGGGATCTGACACCCTCTTACAACCTCTAAGCATACATTTGCACAGACACACACACTCAGGCACGCACATAGAAATACATTTTTTAAAGTGATTGTTGGAAGTAGAAACTTTGCCGATTATCTGTGTTCTCGTCGCTCAAAACTCATGGACCTGGGGTCTTCCTGTCTTCCCCTCTATGAGTACAGACTTTTGGAGGCCTTGTGTATTCCCTGGCCTGCCCCCAGTCCGATGCATGTTTGAACTGATGACTCCTGTTGCAGTAGACACCCTGGTGATCAGTGTGCCCTGCAATGAGAGGACGAACCTGGATTTTCCCTCCCAAGGTTACACGAGAGACAAGTCCTTCCTGGCCATGGTGGTGGACATCGTGCGGGAGCTGAAGCAACAGAACTCCCAGCTCGTGTACGGTGAGAGCTGGACCGTGATGCCCCTCCCCCACTTTGTGCCCCGTGCTGCTCTTACCCAGGGGAAGGGACAGCTCAGCCAGCTGTCTTCTGGTATCTCACTTCCTGCTTCGTCTTTACTGGTCAGTTGTTTAACCCATGGGACCTCTGAGGAGAAGGCTTGTGGGCAGGAGGATGGGGAAGTTTTTCGCATGGGTTCATGAGAAGGGAGGGGTTAAATATGTATGAATGAAGGCCTGGGCTGCCCAAGGTGTGTGAGGTCTGACCCTAAAGAAGATGTAGGTTGGGTTGATAGCCCCAGGCAGGGCCAAAATAGGGGATCGGTGATGCCGTATCTAGTTTGTCTGCATGGAGAGTGGCACTATAGTTGCCAGACAACATCACTAGGCCCATGTGCCAGCAAGAGCAGAGGCAGTGTTAACCAACCATGCAGGCTGAAGCTAGATCCTAAGTACCAGTTTCCCAGGTCTGCACGGTGTGCCCTGCCCTAGAGGCCAATAGCACATTGCTTTGTCCATGCAGTGAACTGTGTCCAAAGGAAATGTGCTTGAACCTGGTAAGACATTGTGAAACCTGGGTTTAGTACTCTCAGCCAGGCCAGGGTGGAGGGCACTGTGCCGCCAGTCCAGGTGACCTGAGGTAATGTGTTCTTGAGGCAAAGGCATGAACGGTGGTAAGTTATGTGTGAAATTATCCCAGGAAGGACCTGGTTGTCTTGGACAGAGAAGTGCAAGGAGCTGGGATGCACGATTGTTATGTATGCGAAGTTAAAAAGATTGAGAGACTAGGGGTGTGGCCCAGCTGGTAGACTGCTTCCCTCGCATGCATGAAGCCCTGGGCCTGCTCCCTCATACCACATACACAGAATATGGAGGACACACCTGTGACCCCAGTACTCAGAGGGTCAGGAGGTGAGGCTCATCCCTGTTACAGAGTGATGAGTTCAAAGCCAGGCAGGGCAAGTTGAGAAGCTGTCATCAGTTAAGGGTGTGTACTCCTCTTGCAGAAGCCCCGAGTTCAGTTCCAAGCACCCACTCTGATGGCTCATAGCTGCCTGTAAATACAGGGGATCCCGTGTCCTTTCCTGAACTGGACACCTGCACACGTGGCACACGTATGTACATGCAGGCACGCACTCTGGCAGTTAGAGCAAGAGTTAGATATGGAGGTAGGTGTGGTGTGCGTGCCTGCATTCTCAGCTACAGGGCTAGCCTGGGCTACACAGTGGCACCCTGTCTCACAAAACGAGACAGAGGGAAAAGCAGACAGTGTGGAGGTCTGTCATGGGAGGCTGTAGCAGCTGCTGACCAGATGCTGTGTCCCCACAGTGTGTGATCCCGTGATGGGTGACAAGTGGAATGGCGAAGGCTCCATGGTGAGTACACTCACTCTGCTGTTAGACAGGTGGTCTGTCATCTGCTTTGAGCCAAGACAAGGTCACCTTCTGGGTAAACCAGTGTGGCCGCCACACAAGGCTGAGACACGCCTGTTAGGAAGTTGGTCAAACAGAAGACGGGCATTGGGTGTGTTCCGCCAACAGCCTGTCAGCAGTGTGGGCAAGCTGTCTAGTAAGGGCCCAGGTGTGGCACTGAAAGGTGAATTTGCTACGAGTTTGACCCGTTGCAAATGCTTTTCTTTTCAAACCTCATTTGGAGGCTCTTGCCGCAGAGAAGGCTGGCCGTTTGCCCTTGACTGCAGGACAGCATTCCTCCATCCAGGAGAGGCGTCCTGTCTGTGCAGTTTCAGGAGGGGTGCATATGACGCCGTCAGGGAGGAAGGGGACCCCTCGACAGCCCGGCAGCCTGTCCACACTGCAGATCAGTGTGGTGATGGGCGTCATAGCCAGGTCACCTTCTCAAGCAAATGTTCTTCCTTCTGCCATTTCTTATCTATTTAACAACGAGGAAGTCACTCTGAACTCTCCAGCTGTTCAAACCCGGGCAGGGGGTGGGTCAGAGTCGCCCTTGGCTGTCACAGACACCTCAGACTGGAGATGGGAGGCTGCAACTCTGAGGCCCAAGGCTTCAAAGTCAGCGTCTAACGTGCAGACCACCCTGGCTTTTGCCTCCTCTGTTGGCTTCTGACTCATCCATTACTCTTTGTGAACTCCCTGAGCAAAACCGGTCACATGGTCTACACCAGCACCGGACTCACCTGGACCAGTGTCTTCCTGCCCTGCCGAGACAGTGGAAGCCAGTGGCAGTGACTGGGTCAGGTTTCTGCTTTGCTAAGTGGCCATCTTTGTGGCTTTTTAAAAATAATGTATTTACTTTTATTTTCTATACACTGGTGTTTTGCCTGTGGATGTCTGTAGGGGGCATTGGATCCCTTGGAACAGGCATTAGAGACAGTTGTGAGCTGCCATGTGGGTGCTGAGAATCGAACCCCGTCCTCTAGAAGAGCAGTCAGTGCTCTTAACTGCTGAACCGCCTCTCCAGTCCCTAGTGGCTATCTTTTCATCAGCTTTCTCCAGTGCCTATTTTCTGGAAGGTTCCCTGCACCATACACCCATCCCTCCTTTTTCCTGATGCCACTTGCTGCAGTGTCCTAGCCAGCCCAGGAGATGCTGGTGTTTGGGTCCTAAAGAGCTCTCCTCCCGGCTCAGTGTTGCTGTGCTGTGTCCTGGTTTTGATTAAATGACTTCCCTGGAGGGCCTAGATCAGATACTCCCCATATCAGATACTTAGTAGCAAAATTACAGTTATGAAGTAGCAATGAAAATAATTTTATGGCTGGGGTCACCGCAACATGGGGAACTGTATCAAAGGTTTGCAGCATTAGGAAGGTTGAGAACCACTGCCAAGATTCAGGACAATGTGTTAGGTTCAAACCCAGGGCCTGTCACATGCTAGCGACACGCACTACCACTGACTGGGATGCATGCCATTCATCAAACTCAGTTGTATAAGGGCCTGTTTTGATGTCATGGTCAGACCTGAGTCTAGGGGTTGGACTGTGCAACTCCAGTTTATGTTAGCTAATGGGAGTCCATCTTTGTAGCACCTTGGATCTTGAGGGAAATTCCTCAGCAACTGGATGGGAGAGATTAGAACCTTGGACCACTCACCAGTGCCGCAAAGCATTATGGGAAGAGGCAGCTATTTCAGAGCCTCGTGTGGGAACCACACCTGGTAGTGGATGTCTGCAATCCCAGTTACTTGGGAGGCTGAGGTGGATGATTGCGACTTTGAGGCCTTAATCAAAACTTTAAAAAGGAGCTTGAGGAGCTGGAGAAATGGCTCAGTGGTTGAGAGCATTGGCTGCTCTTCCAGAGGACCCGGGTTCAATTCCCAGCACCTACATGGCAGCTCACAACTGTCTGTAACTCCAGTTCCAGTGGATCTGCCACTGTCACACAGATGTGCATGCAAGCAAAACACCAATGCACATGAAAATAATCATTTACTTAAAAGGGGAGGGGAGCTTGAAGGTATAGATCATGCCTGTAAAAGGGGGGGAGCTTGAAGGTATAGATCATGCCTGCTCAGGCCCTGAGTCCATCCCCAACATGGAGATAACTATTTTTTTAAATGCTAAAGATTGTTCTAAGCTGGCCTTGGATATTACACCAGTGATCTCAGGACTTGGAAGGAAACAGGAGGAAAAAAACAGGAGGGGGGAGCACTGTTCCGTCGAATTGTTCATTGATAACCTAAAACAAAATTGAGATGGTCAAAGGGTGCTATCTCCCAAGCATGTCTTAGGTGGAGATGAGGTGCCCCAGGACTCAGGCTACAAGAACCAAGAGGGCCCCGTCCCATCTGGCAGGACCTGAGGACCCGAGACTGCCTTTAGTCATCCCGTGGGGTCCTGTGTCTTAGCTCCCTACTTAACGTTCCCTCTTCTGGTCCTGGTGAGCTGAGGCCTTCCCCTCCTGCTCCAGGCCCTTCTCTTACTTGGTGACACCCTTCTCTGTCGCTGTCCCTTTGGGGCCTCAGCTGTGGTGGCAATGCCCGCAGGATTAGGGCTTTGGGAGCATCCCTCACTGGGCTCTGTTTCTGCGTGAGTGAGTCTCCTCCTTTGTCTCCTGTGCTCTGCAGTACGTTCCTCAGGACCTCCTTCCTGTGTACAGGGACAAAGTGGTGCCCGTGGCAGACATCATCACTCCCAACCAGTTTGAGGCTGAGTAAGTAACTGCATAGCCAGCAGGACCAGCTGCCCTGTGAGCCCTGCAGAGCCCTTGGAAAGCCTGGCCTGCACTAGACTGACCCTTGTCCCTATAGACGTGTGCCCCTAGCCCCCGCAGCGGTTCCCATCGCCTCTAAGGCAATGACAAGGGCTCTTGCTCTCTGGATCTCTGGTTATTTCTTCATGACCATGTGGGCTCACAGTGTCTCCCCGCCGACAAGATGCTCCAAGAAGAGAAAGAGGAGGTGATGCCTGTCCAGCTGAGGGCCCATGTGGCTGGGAACGCCCAGGTGGAACTGCAGGCCACAGATGTCTGTCAGAGCTCAGGGCACATGGCCCCTGGTTAGCTCAAGGGTCAGCTTCTAAGAAACCTGCCAGTCACCCAGACTTGCAGCACAGGCCTCTGTCCCGTGAGATGGTCCTGCAAGCCTTGGATGCCCACACTGGCGGGCGTTTTTAGACTCAATAGCTGAGGGCCCTGTACCAGGCTTTCTCTTCTGGGCTACCAACCAGCTCCCAAACCATGACACGTAGGCATTGGCCACAGTTTGGAACCTTACCCGTGTATGTGAGTTTCCTTATTTTCCTTATGTTTCACTCTTGGCCTTCCCCGTTCTTCCCTGTGTGTCACTGCCTCCCCAGTTCCTAAGGCCAGTAGAGAAGCAGCGATGGCCTCTTTTGGGATGTAGGTTAGTTGCCAGGATGGCTGTACTGTAGGGGCTGGCTCACCACTCCCATCTGTGTTCCAGGTTGCTGAGTGGCAGAAAAATCCACAGTGAGGAAGAAGCCCTGGAGGTAAGGAGACCTGCACACATGGCCCTGCTCACAGGGAGGGAGACCACACACACAGTCACAGTCCTGTTTATCAGGAAGGAAACTTTCACACATGGGTCTATTTATTCACTGGGAAGGAGACCCTCACACAAGGCCCTGTTCAAGAGATACTGAACTCTGACCTCAGGTGTGGCGAGTACCCAGTTTTTGTCATTTGGGTACCTTTGTCACTTCTATATTCAGTCCACCATGTGACCTTCTCTGTGACCTGGAGCTGCCATAACAAAGCGTCCTGTCACAGCTCTGGAGTCCGAAAGCCCCAGATTCAGGTGCGGAATAGGGTGCAGTCCCTCTGAGTCCTTCCTGCCACCTCCAGGTCCTTTTGCTGTGGGAGTAGAATATTAGCTCATGGCCTAGCTGTCCCATGACACAGGTGTGCCCTCCATCAGCATCCTTTATAGAACTGCAGTCATATCTCTTTTTTTTTAAAGATGTATTTATTATGTATACTGTGTTCTCCCTGCATGTATGTCTGAAGGCCAGAAGAGAGCACCAGACTTCATTATAGATGGTTGTGAGCCACCATGTGGTTGCTGGGGATTGATCTGAGGACATTGCAACAACGGGCAGCGCTCCTAACTGCTGAGCCATCTCTCCAGCCCGCAATCATATCTTTTTATGACAGTGTGGTGCAGTTCACTCAACTTTGGCCTCGGGTTATTGCCAAGTAGAATCCCATTCTGAGAAACTGGGGGTAAGAACGTCAATATATCTTCCGCATTTTAGGTCAGAGCAGTCATCACATGTAATGTGTGCCAGGCACTGTGTAAGCGCTGGGCACAATCTTACCTATTGAGCCCCATAGCTGACAGTGTGCCGGCCTCATGTGTCATGCTCATGTCCTGTTCTGTCATTGCTCTGAGTACCCTCAATCCACACCCTCCTAAATCAGCCAGCAGGAAGGAGCCACCCAGAAACCTGTGGTGGCAGCTCCTCCCTGGCCCTGCCTTGACAGACATCTTTTATCTTAAAAGACTCATTTCTTTGTAACTTACATTCGAGTGGTTTTCCTGTATGCACATGTGTGTACCCTGCTGGTGCTGGTGTCCGACCCTGGGTGCTCTTAACTGCTGGGCCACCTCTCCAGCCCTATGATGTGCAGCCTCTGTGTCCCACTCAAGCTGTCCCATGCACCAGGGTCACCATCCTATCTACCTTAAGTGGCCTTAGAGCCTGCAGAATGTGCAGAGACTGTAACTCCACGCATGCTGTCTCCCACTGTGTACGGGCAGTGGTGGCTAGGTTCACCTCTTGAGCCACTGGCATTAGGCACCCACGAATGTGCCCTGTGAGCACTGCAGTGCGGACCCTCCAGAGCATCCACCAGGTTTACGGGAATTTCGCCATCTTGAGCCAGCTGTCAGGGCTCGCCGCGCTTGGGAGACAGAGACAAGTGAATCTCTGTAAGTTCAAGACCGGCTTGGTCTACATACCCATTTCAGGTCAGCCAGAGCTATATGGTATGATCCTGCCTGAAATAAATAAACAGCAAAAAGAAAGACAAGCCAGCTTGGAGAGAAGCTTGCTTCCTATTGTTGTATATGACTAGCTTCCCAGTCCCTAAGGAGTTAGGCTGGGGCTTCCGGGCATCCCTTTATTTCCAGACTCCGAGCTCTCAGTGGCCCTGACAGGTGGCAGACCTCAGGCTTGGCCATGTGTGTGTGCAGTGTCCCAGGTTCTCTGGAAGCCCATCAAGCATGCTGGTCACTCCTGGCTGCTTGAGCTCTGTTTGCAGAGGACAGTGTCCCACCAGGGTCTGTCCCCTTGAGAAGCGTGACCATGGCTGGATGGGCTGACACTGTCCCTTGCTGCTGGCAGGTGATGGACATGCTGCACTGCATGGGTCCTGACACAGTGGTCATCACCAGCTCTGACCTGCTCTCCCCACGGGGCACTGACTACCTGATCGCACTGGGCAGCCAGAGGATGCGTAAGTGCCTGCTCCACATGCCCTTGATGCCCCTCAGTCCTTCTGTTTCTGTAGCCATGGCTTTCAGGCCCCAGAGAACATGTGGGGCTCAGTCAGCAAGTGGCAGGTACCTCTTGCCCTCAGGAGAGTCAGACAGAAGGAAGGATCAGGACAGGGCTCTGTGGAGTCAGGGGGTGAAGGCTAGATGGGGTGTTGGGGACATGAGCAGGCTCACCCACTCCCACTGACCAGATGCTCAGATATCCATGCTGTGCTGGGAGCACCAGGTTCTCATGGTGGTGAACTACCCTGCACTGGTGACTTATGCCAGAGGCCAGCTGAGTCTGGCTTCTGTGGCCCAGGGGTCTCCAGGGAGAAGGTTTCTGCTGAACTCAGTGACTGGTTATATAACCAACACATGAGTTAATTATGCTTGAACACTGTCCCAGCACAGAGCTGGGTCACGGGCTGACAGGAAGCCCAAGTTCACACCCACTGTTTCTATTGAGTGTTCTGGATGCACAGGGGTATGGGGGAAGCATCTGAATGCTCCTGTGCCACACACACACACACACACACACACAAACACACACACACACACTGTATCCAGGCAGTTCCTGGCACTCTGAGTATATAAGGTCATGCTAGTTTCAGCTTCTAAGGATCCAGTGTTTCATTCCCCTTTGGGACATTGGTGGCAGTGGGGGTCAGTTATGACAGCCCACACTGAGTCCCAGAGCTCCTGAAGGAGGCCACAGCACATCTGTGTGACCACTCCTAAGGATGGGCAGTGCTGACCTTCCTGTCACTTCTGGAGAATTCCGAACGAGTTGGGCTGACGGGGTCCCACTGCAGGGGCAACCCTTGTGTAGCTGAGAAGTCTCAGACCCAGTGACCTGGCTGATGTCCTCCCCTAGGGAAGCCTGATGGCTCCACGGTGACCCAGCGCATCCGGATGGAGATGCGCAAGGTGGATGCTGTCTTCGTGGGCACTGGGGACTTGTTCGCCGCCATGCTTCTGGCGTGGACACACAAGCACCCCGACAATCTGAAGGTCAGTTGTGCGAGTGGTGCTCCTGTCCACAATGCCCTCTGCTCTTTTGGTGGGGATGTAGGTTAATATGGGGGTGGGGGACAGGTTTGGGGGGAGCCTGTGCCTGACCACCAGCCCAAGGGTCAGTGGGAGGTACAGCTGACTATGGGTTCAGAAACCTACTATCTCAGCTCTGAATTAGAGCATCTGAAAGTAGGGACCCTCAGTTGAGAAAAACGCCTCCATAAGCTCCAGCCCAATGTCATTTTCTCAAATAGGTATTGATGGGGGAGGGCCCAGCCCATGGTGGGTGGTGCCATCACTGGGCTGGTGGCTCCGGGTTCTATAAGAATGCAGGCCGAGCAAGCAATGAGGAGCAAGCCAGTAAGCAACACCCTCCATGGCCTCTGTATCAGCTCCTGACTTCCTGCAATTCTGAATAGTGATATGGAAATATAAGATGAATAAACCCTGCCCTTCTCGTGTTGATTTTTGGTCGTGGTGTTTCATCACCGCAACAGAAACACTGACTAAAACATTCACCCTGTGTTTGTCTTGATGCCCACGCTTCCCTCTTTGGGAAGTAATGACACAGGAACAAGGCGTCAGGGACTTGCATTTGAAAGTGAGAAACAGTGAGCAGCTATATGTATGCCTGGGCGTAGCGTACATGAGCCTGGGGTTTGACCCTCAGCTGTGTTTTTAAAAACAAAACACAAAACAAACTAGCATTCACACAGAAGCCAGCGAGAAGTCCTAGGCCCATGCAGCCCTCCAGGTCCCTCCTTGGTGACCTGGGAGCCACTTCCAGGGCTCAGCTCAGTTCAGGTCATTTCCTGCTATGCAGCCATTGGCTGACTTGATGGACCTAGCCCGTGGAGGTCAAAGGACAGAAGGTTGAGGATGCAGACCTGTCATGGAGATGGTCTTTCCATGGTTGTCTGGTCCTTCCGCCTGCTTCAGGCGCTTGTGAGGAGGAGGGTGCTTTTGCTCAAATCTCCTGGGCAGGGTGGACCATATGGGACTCTCCATCACCGAAGCCACATCGGGAGCTCAAGTGGGACTGATGTGCCTTAGGATCAGGGATGGGGCTTTTCTCCTGAAAGTGCAGATAAGGACGGAGCCCAGCAGGGGCACAGGAGTTTTCTTATGGCTGTCCCCGTGCATTTGTGATATCCTGGCCTGTGTGCAGGAAAGCGGTATGGTGACCAGTTAGCGGGTCATTTCTCCTGATGCCCAGCGGCTGACAGCCAGCGTGTCCTCCTCCAGTGCTGTTGCAGGCAGAGGGCAAGGACTGGGGCATGCACGGCTCAGTGGTTATCTTAGTTAGGGTTTTTATTGCTGTGAATCGACACACTGACTGGGCAACTCCTATAAAGAAAACATTTAATTGGGGTGGCTTACAGTCTCAGAGGTTCGGTCCATCATCATCATGACGGGAAGCATGGCAGCGTGCAAGCTGACTTAGTGCTGGAGCCGAGAGTGCTGCATTTTGCAGGCAGCAGAAGTTGACTGACACTGGGCAGTATTCTGAGCATAGGAAACCTCAGAACCCGCCCCCACAGTGACATACTTCCTCCCGCAGGGACATACCCGCTCGAAGAAAGCCACACCTCCTAACCCTGCCACTTCTTGTGAGATTACATTCAAAGGGCCACAGCGGTAGAACACTTCCCTAGCACATACAAGGCCTGGTTCCATCCCAGCAGAGCAGACATAAAAAGAAAAAGAACTAAAGATGGAACAACCCCTGCACTGTGTGCCAGGGTTGACAGCTGGGTGATGGAAGCCTTCTATTGGACTGGAGGAAAGGAGAGAGGAAGGGTTGTGATCTAGGGGACGCAGTAAGGTGTGGGGACCTGGAAGGGGTTCCCTGGTGCTGTCCCACGGCCCATTCCAACCCACTCTGTCCTCGCGTCTGACTCCTTGCTTATATGACTTAGAGGATGATAGACTCTCACCTGGCAAGTCTCCTGAAAACTCTGAACTTAAGTCTAGAAGGCTCACTCCCTTTTTCCGTTGCTGGTCTCCACCTCTGCCTCCCTCGGGTGTAGGCCAGGCCAGGCTTGCCCTGTATATTTGACAGCAGCTGGGTTCCCTTTGCTCAGGGCAGCAGAAACTCAGCCGCTGGCACCCAGAGGATCCTCGTGGTGGGGCTCCCAAGGCAAGCCCTGGTTCAGCCATCCCATGTAGGGAACTGAGGGTCAGGGACCTGCTGAGTCCCCCAGGCCTCTGGTCTTGAGAGTGGTGGCAGCAGTGCTTTCCCGATGGAGTCTGTAGGACTAATCACTCCCGGAATTCTTGTTACGCACTTGCCATTTGCCAGCTACGCACAGTATAGACAAGCCCAAAGCTGCTGTCTCTCCCATGAGGCATCTCCATCCACACCGAAGTGGTTGATTTAATAGGCAGTGTCTGCTTGAGCCTCTCTCCACTACTATCACAAAGCACCCGGACAATTTATAAGGAAGAAAGGATTCTTTCTACTCACGGTTTCAGAGGGGTCTGTCCGTGTGAGATGGCCTTTTGCTTCAAGACCACGCTCTGCATCATGGTGGGATCCAGCAACCCAAGAGGAAGGAGATAACGATGCTACACTATCCCCTTCCGAGGACTCAGGACCTTGCACCAGGCCTCACTTCCAGAGCTGTCACCCCCCCCCCCCCAGGCAGATGGCCTAGCCTCTAACGTGGGTTTGGGGGACGGGACATTCCAGACACTGGCTAATGCAGAGACCTCTCCTTGGGGGCGGTCGTGCAGTCAGCTCCGTGGACCCAGCTGTGTCACTGTGAGTGTGAGTGGCAGTGGAGCCAGCTTCCTGGTGACTAAGGCAGCTGGTGCCTGTGGGATGTCCTCTGGACAGTGATGCTCACCCAGGTAGACCAAGGCAGACGATGTCTCTGTCCTCTCCACAGGCGGCCTGTGAGAAAACTGTGTCTGCCATGCAACACGTGCTGGAGAGGACCATCCGGTGTGCGAAAGGTACCTGCCCTCCTGCTCTGCCTTCCTTGGAGGTGGTGCCTGTCTGGGGCTGGGCAGGGGAGAGGGGGGCTCCCCCTTCAGCCTCTGCATCCTGCTGCCTGTTAGAAGTGAGGCAGCAGGGGGCAGTGTGGAGCCCCTTGTGAAGCAGGAGCTCCAGTGTGGGCAGGAGGAGGGAGCCTCGGGCTGCAATGGGGGCCCCCACCCCTCCCGCTCTAATCTTGCCTGTGTCCTCAGCTCAAGCAGGAGAGGGACAGAAGCCCAGCCCGGCTCAGCTGGAGCTGAGGATGGTCCAGAGCAAAAAGGACATCGAGGACCCCGAGATCATCGTGCAGGCCACGGTGCTGTGAGGGCCGTGAGCTCGCCCTGACACAGCACAGCGTGCTGGGGTCTCCGTTTCCATCCCTGTGAGAGCTGTGAAGTCTGCCTTAGAACCCTGACTGAAACTCAACATGGTGTTCCCTCCTGAGGGTCGGGTCTCAGCCTGTCTCAATCCTGAAAATGTGCCATCGTGGCTTTTTAAAATAATAACAAAGCTGTCACGAAATGTGACTCAGAAACATGGCCCCTTCCCCCAAGGCCCTGGGCCTCCTGACTGCCTCACGCTGCCTCACAGGTCTGTGGGAGGGAGGAGGCAGAGGCAAGCCTGTGCCTGTGGACCCTTCTGTTGGCCACTGGCTGCCATTGCCCCAGATCCTGATTGTGCTGGGACTGGGCCTGCGGGCACACTGTCTTTAAAATTGGGTTAGGTCCTAACCATTGGCATCTGGAAGAATTATGCCAAATATCTTCATTGCCGTTCTGGTCTTACCCTTGTTCCTGCATTAGAGTTTCTGTGTGAGTCTCTGCTGCTCTTAGTGTGTCCGAGAACGTCGGACTTACACAACTGTTGTACTGTGTGGGAAGCGTTATATCCTCATGCTTCAGTAGGCACACAACCATGTTGTCACTGTGACAGGGACCTTGTAAAGGCCCTGAACATTCCAGAGGATCTGCAAGCCTCCTGGGTGTCAGCAGGATCTCCTGTAACTTGGGACCAACTTCTGAGAAACTGACCAACATAGGGGTCAGCTGCTGAGCCTAAGGTGGCTATGGAAGTTCAGGGAAGGTTGCCACACGGGGCTCTTGGGGACACGCACCCTGTGCTGCACTTGCCAAGTATTGCTGGGGACAGTACATTGCTGCAGACATGTTTGGACAGACAGGGCAGGAGCAGCAGAGGGGTCTCCTCCCCATGGTGGCATACTTAACCCTGGTTCCTCTCCCCATTTCTGTATTCTGTGTCCAGCACATGCTGAGGGGCAAGAGGCCCTTGCGTGAAGCCGGCTAGCTCTCTGCCTCCTTGGCAGTCCCATGAGAGCATGTTGGCACTGTAGGTGCAGGAGACCGGGACATGCTCCGTTTGCATTGCTCACGTGTGGCTTTCCTGGCTGCACATCCTAGAGTTTGGGGTCCTGAGTCATAGCTGTGAGTGGGGCTGTCCACTTAGATTTTCCTTTATCTCAGCAGTCATGTCCGTCTCCCTGTACCTCAGTTTCTGAGATTCGCCTCTTCTGAGAAACCACACCCTCAGGAAAAATGGAGACTGAAGATCTGGGGACCACATCTAGGGGCGCTTGGCTGCAGCCCACAGGCAGGCCTCTGAGAGCCACAGCCTACCTTAACCTAGTCCAGTGTTCCCGTTCCCAGTTAAAATGCCCTCGATGCAGGAGACGCTGGTCACATGGACCTGCACCAGTCCAGCTGAACTTTCTCAGCAGCCCGTACCCTGAGCTTCTCACTTCTCTCTCTCTCTCTCTCTCTCTCTCTCTCTCTCTCTCTCTCTCTCTCTCTCTCTCTCTCTCTCTCTCTCTCTCTCTCTCTCTCTCTCTGTCCCCTACCCCCTCTCTCACACACACACACATACATACCCACACACAAAAAAATAAAATAAATGTAATTTTTAAAATTACCTTGTCCATCATTAACCCAGCCTAGGATAGCTAGCTCTCTGGCATGTGTTTCCTGGTCCCAGTAACCTCTGAGCCCCGAGTATTGCTGACCAGAAGAAGGAAAGCCATGTCCAGCAGCCTGGAAGGGAGGAACAACATTCCCCTAAGTCACAGGCAAAGCGCATCACTGTGCCCCAGAGAGCAGGAACACCACATTGCCAGCAGTGAGGACAACTTCCTTTCCTGATTAGGGTGTTGAGACTGCACAGGAGATGGTGCAGTTGGTAAAGTACTTGCCATGCAATCACGAGGACCTGAGTTCAGTCCCCAGCGCCTCAGTGTGGTCGTGCAGCGTGTACCTAGAACCTTAGAAACAGGAAGGTGCCTGGGGCTCTCTTGACAGCCAGTCTTTTCACTGGTGAGCTCCAGGTTCAGTAAGGAGAGACCCTGTCTCAAAACAAAAAGTGGAGAGCAATTAAGGAAGACCCCAGATGTTGACCTCTGGCTTCACACACATATGCTCACAATAAAGGATAAAGTCTGGCCTGCATGTGTGTGAAGAGCTGTGAAGACACACACACACACACACACACACACACACACACACACACACACACACACCGCAGAGCAGTACTGGGTGTTGAGGATTTCTGTGTGCTGGGTCTTCATGAGCGCAATCTGCAAACACACCAGGAGAGCCTTAGCAATTTACTGTAGCCAGAGCTAATGGGGTGGGGGAAAGCCTTTCTTGCTAACACAGCATGCTGAGTGCTGTCCTCTCATGAGGACTTCTCCTTAATCCTGAACTTGGTGTGTTCTGAATTGTCCTCCTGTGTCACAGCTTTGGAGCCCAGGGGACAGGGGCACAGGCTGAGGGTCAGGCATGTGACTAAGAAACAATAAATGCTTTGATCGTGGGCATGCGCAGAAGCAGTGCTTACCACAGAAACGTCTGCAGCCTGCCTGCCAGCAGTCACAAGGTCTGGTGCCTGTGTGTCCAAACTAGAGTTGGCTTTGCTCTCGCTCTCCTTAGCTTGGCTATGAAATGATGCATATGGAAATGAAACTTAGCTCAGTATTGCCTGCTTCCTCCTGGGGACGCCCTTTGATGCTATCTTAGTCCATCTCCTTCAACCTCCTGAAGACTAAGGGGAAATTCTAACATCTGCTTCTTTTTAAATCATTGCCTGGTCCTGTTAGATAACCATGTGCCTCTGTCGTAGTTTTGCAATATGCTAGTAATTGTGAAAACGATACTGTGCTTTTCTTCCAGTTGGGAGAACCCAGTTTTTTGTTTTTTGGTTTTTGGTTTTTGGAGACAGGGTTTCTCTGTGGTTTTGGAGGCTGTCCTGGAACTAGCTCTTGTAAACCAGGCTGGTCTCGAACTCACAGGGATCCACCTGCCTCTGCCTCCTGAGTGCTGGGATTAAAGGCATGTGCCACCAACGCCCTGCGAGAACCCAGTTTTTAAAGGCTGCTTGATTGTTCATTGGGAGTGGCCATGGCTGGCTTCACTGTGCTGAAGAGGGGAATTGAGAGGAGGGAATTACATGCCCCATAGGCCGTGTCCCCAGTATGACGTCACCACCACCATCTGGGGTTACAGGATAGCAGTGGCTGTTAGAGGTCATGCCCTCTGGCGTCCCTATTGGGGAATGCAGGGCTGTCCTGAAGGAGGCAGGTTGGCTGGTGCAGCACTGAGTCCTCTGCTGTGCCCCTGGCCAACTCCTGACCCCAGCGTCCAGCTCCCATTGCTTCAAGCCTCACATTGTCTGGAGCTGACGAGTATAGAAGAAAGAAGTGAATGTACTTTGGAACTCTTTGCTTTCTTTGCCCACTTGGTCATGTATCTGTCTTTGCTTATGCAGTTCTCAAATGCCCAGTGACAGCTGGGCTGACCACAGCCTGCACTGGGCCCAGAGAGGGGACAGGCAAGGACACAGGCTTTGGTGGTGGCATCCAGATTCCATGTGTCCTCCAGAGGGTGCTGCAGCCCAGAGGTCCCTTTTGTTCCTGTCCCTTGTCAGTTGGGGTGCTTCTCTTCCAGTCATCCATGCAGCTACTTGCAGTGAGAGGCCCTGCAAAGCCAGGTCTGTGCAAGTGACAGTGGATGCTGACCTCAGGGCCCACCAGTGGATGCCTAGAAAGGCTGTCCCCCGAGGGGCAGTCCTGGGAGGTCAGGTTCACTGTAAGTTTTTTCACAGAACTGTGGGCTCTGTGGGGAAGGCTTGAACCTGGTCCCAGCAGTCTGAGTGGATGCTGTTCTCTGATGGCTTGAGTGGTGCAGGAGAGCCCCGGAATGGAGGCCCATCTGGGCATGCATGTGACAGTCCGTTCCTTTCCTCCACTTGCTGTGACCGCTTCAGGTGGGGGCTGGCAGGGCATTTGCAGGTTCCAGTCCTGTGGAACCTGGGTCAGGAGATGTCTGCTTCCTGTTGCCCATTTTCAGTAGTTACTCTTTACATCATATTAAGAGGCAATTCTTGCCTGGCATGGAGGTGCACAGCTGCAATCTGGAGCCCTAAAGGCTGAGGCAGGAGGATAGCTGTGTAGTAAGAAGTATCTTTAAACTCACAGTTATTCCTGGATTTTTCTTTTTCCTATTTAAAGGGTTCCTCGCTATGTGAGTCAGGCAGGAGCATGTCCCCAGCAGGAGTCTCCATCTCCTGTCTGTTACCCACTGTACCTTGGGCTGAGCCCTGGAAAACAGCCACTTCAGGTGAACTTAGCTCACCTATGCCAACAGCTCCTCTTTTCTTTCCCTAGCTCACTGTGGGCACTTTCTGGTCTTTCTGCAACAGTATACACATTCCAGGTGTAAAGGTCTCCCCTATCGCCGTGGGGACCCCACCCTGCCCCTGTCAGCTCTCAAATAGCCAGCTAGGGCTACTCCTGCCCTGTGGCTTTAGGCGGGTGGAAACAGGGCAGAGCCTGCCACTTCAACCTTCATGCTTGGAAGCTCCCAGAAGGCCTTGGGGTGCAACCATGGCCATGCCTCACCGCCCATCTTATAGAGTTTGCAGGCCCACCAAGGCAGGCTGAGATTCTGGGTGAACCATGGCCGCACCTCACTGCCTGCCTTGCTGGGCCTGGCCGTCCTCCATGAAGACAAGTGGAAGAGCCTTCCTTAGTGTGACCTGGTCTGGTGCCCTGGAAGTCTCCGAGCTACATGCTCACCAAGGACCTGGTTCATGCCTGACATGGGGAGGGTGTGCTCTGGGGGTGACTGGACAATTAGAAGACTCAGAGACTTAGCACATGCTTCTAGTGTCCCACAGAGCAGAAAGGCAGAAGTCAGGTTCCCTCGATGCTCTGACCTGGCCAATTCCCACAAGACGCCTAAGGCCCTTTGGGTTTTGGTAGGCATGGATGTCAATATTTTTGTAAATGGAGTTGAATTCAACATAGCTCTTGAAGGATGAGACATGGGTGACCTCTTGAGTGCGCTTAGCTTCATAGCTGCCTAATTCCTGATATAGACCTTGTCAGAGTTTCACCGGTGTTTTGCAAACCTGGACCAATCAGAAGACGGGCTGCACCTCTGGGGCTGGCCTGACCCTACTATTCCTACCCAGAGACCTCAACTTTTTGGAGGCTCCTAACCGTTAGAGTAAAGCACAGCTGGCCCACCGCCCCTGGTGTACAGGAGGCGGGTGCTCTGGGCTTAGGTGGTCTCTGGTCCAAGTCGTCCAGCCCCGTGTACTGTCCTTTGTCAATGCGTCTGTAGACTTTAGCACCTGTCAGCACTGTGTAGTTGTGTCTGTTTTGTGCTGGTCTGTTGACCTCTATGATTATCCACAAATAAATATTTTCATTGCAGTTGTTTGTGTGATTATTTCTCCCTAGCCTGTCCATCAAAGGAAAGTGTGTCCTTGGTCCCACTGTGGTGGTACCCAGCTCACCCTTCAGTCTCTCCTTTCCTGGGAGTCTATCTGGTGCCTTAGGGCCAGTCCTGAGGCTTCCAGCAGGATTCTGGGGTGGGAGCTTAGAGACAGAAGACCTGTCCTGCTGCTCCCTGAAAGATTCTGAAGATAGTCATTGGAGAACGTCCAACATTTCAGTTGTTAGTGAGCTCTGGTGCCACCTGGCTCCTTGACCTTTAACAGTGACACTGAGTGCAGAAGCTTGGGACCATGACCATAGCTCACCAGTGCCCTTAGGTGTAAAGCATGGAGCAGTTCAGCAGTTGTCCTGAAGGCAAGGGAGGGGCTGGGTTTAGATCCCTGAGTCCCCATTTGGTCAATCATTGCCAGAGAGGATGCAGGCCATGCAGGAGGCTGACAGGGACAGAGCAGAGACATAAACTGGTGACAGGTGTCCTGTGACTGCTGCACTGCTTTTTATGATAGGCTACCTCTGATTATTTAAAGCTGTGGAGACCAGGTGTATACAAATGGGGTGTCAGCGCTGGTCTTTCTGAAGGTGCCAGGCTCGAGAGTCCACTTTTTCCATGTATAGGGCTGAAGCATCCTTGGCTTGGGGGCCTTGCTCCATGTCTGAGGACAGAAGTGGCATCTTACACCTCTCTTGACTCTGACCTTCCTGCTTCCTCCTAATGTATGACACTGGACCACTCAGCAACCCAGGGTCACCTAGCTCTTGAGACCTTCAGTTCAATCCCATCGTTAGAGCCTCTTGGCCATGCCAGGTACCATTTCTTCAGGTTCAGGATATGGGCATCTTTGGAGGCCCCGCTGATGGAGAACTAGGGCAATGGCTTCCTTCCAAAAATGGCCCTGTAGGGACACTGTAGCCCCTGAACCAGGACAGGACAGCCTGATGGTCTCCCTCTCCAGCCCCCTCACTGAGTGGGAGGAGCATACGTCTGGGCTGTGTGCAGGGCACAGCTGAGGCCAGCGATGAAGGACTGCACTTGATCCCTCCGGATCTGCCTGCAGTGCCTGGAGCTCCTGGGCTACCACTGTTGAGACTTCAGCCAGAGGATAGGATGTCCCCATGCCAGGATGGCCTTTTGTGGCAGCTGACATGAGCAGAGCCTGGTAGGTGAGGACTCGGGTCAGGGTGTGATACAGAAGACAGCCCCTCAAACTGTGGTATTCATTGTCACAGTGTCCTAGGGTTAAATGGATCCCCAAAGATGCCTCCATGTTGAAGCCATGATCCTGTGCACATGACCTGCGTTAGAATGAGGCGGTTGAGATGAAATTGGTGGTCACACTGGATTAGGTTGGATGTTCAGCCGATGACCGGTGTCCATGGAGAAGAGAAATTTAGAGACACTGAGTATGGGAAGTGGAGGCAGGAGACTGGAGGACAGCAGCCCAGAGGCAGGGCTCGAGGCAAGAGCACCAGTGTGTGCAGCAGACACAAGGCATGGGAGCCGCTTCCCTGGGCCTACACAGCGCCTCTCGCCCTGCCCCCTCCTCAGGCATCAGGATTTGACAGAATAAGTTCTAAACCACTGGATTGTGGCACTTGGCTGTGACAGTCTCTGGGCAATATGTCTTGGTGCCCATGTCCAGCTTGGACCCAGCTTTTAAAAAATAGTTTTTGTGGTTTTTTTTTTAAGATTTTTTATTTAGCCAGGCGTTGGTGGCGCACGCCTTTAATCCCAGCACTCGGGAGGCAGAGGCAGGTGGATCTCTGTGAGTTCAAGGCCAGCCTGGTCTACAGAGCAAGTTCCAGGACAGCCTCCAAAGCCACAGAGAAACCCTGTCTCGAAAAACCAAAAAAGAAAAAAAAGATTTTTTATTTATCAGACGTACAGTGTTCTGCCTACATGCCAGAAGAGGACACCAGATTGAATTGTAGATGGTTATGAGCCACCATGTGGTTGCTGGGAATTGAACTCAGAACCCCTGGAAGAGCAGTCAGTGCTCTTAACCTCTGAGCCATCTCTCCAGCCCCAAAATAGTTTATTTTTATTTTGTATGCATCGGCATTTTGCCTACATGTACATCTGTGTGCGGGTGTCAGATCCCCTTTAAGTGGAGTGACAGACAGTTGTGAACTGTCACGTGGGTGCTAGGAATTGAAGTAGGGTCCTCTGGAAGAACAACCAGTTCTCTTCTGAGCCATTTCTCCAGCCCTGGACCCAGCAATTCCTGAAGTCAGACGTGCCACCATTGCGCCACGAGGTCACAACTCAGCTATTCTTAACTGAGGCCCAGAGCAAACAGCTTCTCCTGGCCCCAGCTTCCAGCAACCATGTGGGCTGCTGGGCGTGTCTCTACAAGAGGCAGAGCTCCCTCTCTGCTCTGAAGCCTCCCACAGCTCTCAAGGCTCCCTGCAGCCCTCTCACAGTAGAAACACCACTGAGCCTCAGCCCCCCAGAACCCACAGCTTCTTCCACTTCTCCAGTGACTCTGATGACATCCAGGCACAGTTATGTTGCCTCCAAGCGGCCCATTAAGACTCTGGACGTGTTGGCAGTGGAGCGATTCCACCCCTCAGGTCTGCAATTTTTCCCTTGCACAACATGCATCCAATTATGATTACATTCATTGTTATCACTGCCTTAATAAGGATCTAATCTCGTCCATTTGGTACACCTAACAGTATTTGTCCCCAGTGCGGGCAGACAGTGCAGGAGGGTGTGGTGGCACCGCCTGACTTCCCTCCCAACATTCCTGGCTGTCCTGCTAGGGCTCTCGCAGACTTCAACCAGCTCAGTACATAGTACTCTGGTCGGCTAGAACTGAGGCATGGGGTGCAAAGGTCACAGACTTCAAAACAGTAACTGAGAACTCTGAATGTCTGAGATCCCGAGTTAAGACAAGGCTCCTGGGATGGAGTATGCTCTAATTAGCACCTTCTCAATCCGCCTGTCCTCCAGGGCAGCGTGAGGAACACTGTAAAGGGGCTGGCTTCATGTGTGGAGACAGAAAGAGCACTTTCAAGCTGGCCTCACCACACAGGCACCTGCTCAGAAGAGCCCGTCTTGCAGATGCTGGGTATCTCACACAACCCTTCCCCCGTCTTTCCCACCTGGGCTTGAACGCGGTGCAGGTGCTAGAGATGCCTAGCGCCAGCACATGGTGATGCTGCCAGACTGCCCAGCACCCGGGCATGCCAGTGATCATCTTCCCAAGGGGCAGAGGTGGTGAGACATCACACAGGTACCGGACTCTGGAGCAGGGCTCGACCCTTAGGCACAGGGAGAAGCCCAAGCTAAGGTAGCCCCAGCCACTAGCAATGGCTTTGCTGATCTCTTGAGTCATTTGTTCACATTGCCCAGGCAGGACAGTCTGGGGGAAGGCAGGTCCATCAGAATCTCGAGTAAGCTCTGATTCCAGGCTCGAAAAGGGATTTAGCCCATTGCGGGAGAGTACGGGTATGACTTTGTTGCCTGCCCACTGTTACAGAATGAAGATGTGGTGAGCCTAAGGACCCAGCATCCTGATTGGGTGAGAAGCTCAGGCCAAATTACCAGGGGTTGCTAGGCCTCCAAGTCCTCAGCTCTGGCTGTGCTGGGCACACAGATCATCCAAGCAGACTGTCTCAGCATTGTTCTAAAGGGATCTTGGAGATCCTCCAGTCACGATCAGGCTCTCTCCTTGAGCGCTCTCTCACTCGGCTACCGCCTGCGCAGTGGGAGACCCTCAGTTCCTGTGATCCTTCCACACACCCGTCGGACCCCCCACCTCCCATTTACACCCCCCCCAGACTTGTGCGTTGTGGTTTGCATGTGAATTGCCCCCATAGGCTCTTGCACTGGAGGTTTGGCTCCACAGCATGTTTTGAGGTGACCAGCACGGGGGAGAGTGACTTCATCAATGGCTTCCTCCAACAATGGTTTCATCCAGGGATGAGTTCATAGCTGAATGGCCATTAGGAGGAGGGGTCTGACTGGAGGAAGGTTGTCCTCTGAAGTATAGAACTTGACCTCCTTGGTCCCTTTCTGGATCCATCTGCCTTAATGGTCACCATGAGGTGAGCCACACTGCCCAATCGTATGCTCCTAGTCACGGGGTCAGAGGCCACAGAGCTCAGTCATCCCTCCCTACTTTTCTGTGTAACAGCTTCCAGCATGCTGCGAGCACTAGGGCGGCCTGAGGTGACACTGTCCCTCTGCACAGTTTCTCCAGGAGCCCACCAGGCCTCCAGGTGCTAGAGCAGCCATCACAGTGCACACCCGGTGACTCCCGTCCAGGCGGCAGAGAACCCTAGCAGCCTCCCCTCTGCTTCTCCCTCCGTGACCTCTGAAGGGAGCATCTGATGAAACTGAGCACCTCGGAGAAGTCACTTTAGCCCCCAGGGTTCACACCAAGCCCTGTGTCAGTTAGGACTTGTATGCATGCCCTGCAGTGACCTCCGTCTGTCCTGCTTACACAGCTTCTGCCTGCCCTGGTTGCTCCCTGTGGTGCGGAGGGGATTTCCAGTCACAGCTGCTGACTCACCTCCCTTCCTGTTGGATGACACATTGGCCCTTTCTTACTCCCTCAGTGGCATCTGCCCTACCTGCCTTGCACTGAGCCTCCTGGCCGGGAACCTGTCCGGTCTCTGAGTTACAGGTTTGTATTTGAGGTCCTGTGTGGTACAGGAGGCTCAGTGCGTTATTCATCTCCCGCCTCCTCCCCAGCTGTGCATTCACTGGTCCCTCGTCACCAGGGTCCCAAGTCTGTCTGTGCACTCACCAGTCTGGACATGCCTGGGGAGGTGACTGCAGCTCAGCAGTCCTCAGCCATGTGTTCACAACGTGACTCTGAACGCAAGAAATGAATGCCACCCATCTTCACCTTCCTAATGGATGACAGACACTGACCCCCTGGGGAGACCACGGGCCTTCCTAAGTGGAGGCAGTCTGAAAGTCAGGCTGGCCAGGGCACCTTCACTTATGAACACACACACACACACACACACACACACACACACACACACACACACACACAGGCCCAGGTTGTGCTCTGAGCTCTGTAGCTATCTGACAGCTGTGGTGTAGCGAGTAACGCAGCATGTGACTGTGTCCCACCAAGCCTGCTGCTGACACTTTAGAACTGGCGGACTCGGCCTTTTTTCACAGGAGACTGAGACATGGGTGAGCCGTCACAGCCACGCAGAAGGCTGAATGCCACATGTGACACCTGGCTCTCCCACCTAGGTGCTGTGACTTAGTGAACCTAAGTCACTCCAGTGCCCTAGACCAGGAAGATTTTCCTAAGCTAGTTCAGGTCATACCTGTCACAGAAGGGGCTCTACCAGCTGGGTCATTTCAGCTGTAAGTAACTGTTTTTACAGAGTTGGGGATTAAACCAGAGCCTGGTTCCAGTTTATGAATGAATGGTTCAGTGGTTAAAGACACTCGCTGCCATCCCTGAGGAGCTGAGTTCCATCTCAGGGATCCATATGGTAAAAAGAATCAACCCTACCAGATTGTCCTCTGACCTCTGTATGTACGCCATGGCATGTACATATATATTCACGAATGTATACACACTGGTAAGTAAATGTAGAAAAACTTAAATAGCAAGTAAACAACTACCTTTCCTTGGCATATCTATGTTGTGACTGTAATTTTTGTTTGTTTTTGTTTTTCGAGACTGAGTTTCTCTGTGTAGCCTTGGCTGTCCTGGAACTTGCTCTATAGACCAGGCTGGCCTCGAACTCACAGAGAGCCACCTGCCTCTGCCTTCTGAGTGCGGGGACTAAAGGTGTGCGTCACTACCACCTGGTGGTGACCATGTTTTTTGTTTTTTTTTTTTTTGGTTTTACGAGACAGGGTTTCTCTGTATTGTTTTGGAGGCTGTCGGTCCAGCCTGGCCTGGAACTCACAGAGATCCACCTGCCTCTGCCTCCCGAGTGCTGGGATTAAAGGCGTGCACCATCACCGCCCGGCTTGACCATGATTTTTAAACACAGGGAAAAATTCTAAACAAAGGAGACATTTTGTATAGACTTTAAAATATATTTAGAGAGATCACACGTAGCTTTCTGAAAATAATTATTTGGAAGAAAACAAACACAATGCAGTTTGGGAATCACAAAAGAAGCTGCCCCACTCCGCCCCCTCCATCACAGAGGGGTATTGCCTTCGTGGTCCCAAACACCATAGAGAGATGCAGTGTTTGGCCAGGGGCTGCAGAATCACGAGAAGCTCAGCTCATCATGTTGTTCTTTGTTGGTCTGGTAGCAAGACAGGGTCAAGGGCTTGTTTTCATGGGGGAGGGCCTTGAACACCTTCAAGTGCACAAATTTATTGTCACCAACATCAACCTGTGGGGAGATAAAGAGGGGCCCAGCAGCAAAGGTGAGACCCCAGCTCCAGGCTCAACCTGGTCTTAGAAGAGCTCAGGGCACCAGCAACTGGGCCAGTAAAATGCCTGTCTCTTCCTTTAAGGCCAGGAACCCTGGGACCCCAAATTCATCGTCTCAGAACTGTGCGTGTCTTCTTGAAGGGTGTCCCTCTAAAGGAAGAAGCTGCAGAGCACTCTGAGACTGTCCTAGTTTTCCCCAGGTGACACTCATACCCACCTTGATAAAGAAGTTGATGCCAGCCACCACCTGCTGCCTGAAGGACACAGCTTTGAAGACGGCGAACTTCTGATTTTCTTTCTCTTCGAGCTGGGATTTCACCTGGATGGTGGGCGACGATAAGAGAAGGACTCAGATTCATCGGCAGGCGCTTTCCTGCCTGTCTCAGGATTCCCCCTGCCAGGCCTCAACACTGGTGTTCCTCAGGGCGGGGGACACAGTAAGCTGTTGGGCCCACTGACAACAGGGAACACAGTGCCTCTTTTGAGACACGGTCTCACTCTGCAGCTATGGTCTGGAACTATGTAGACTGGACTGACTTCAAACTCTGTGAGATTCGCCCGTCTCTGCCTCTGGAGTGCTGGCGTATGACACTACAGGTGTAGGGTACTTAGTCTGGTGTCAGTGGTATAAATCTGTCCAGCCCGAGTAAGAATGATGGCAGACAAGGGTTGCTTGGGCCAGCCAGGGGAGGGCTGGGCAAGTGTGTCTGTTCCAATCCCTCACTTTCAGGTTCTCATGATGCTGACTCACTCCTTCCTGACCACTCTGGTCAGATCACAAACTTCCCGAGGACAGCTGGGCTTTGTGGACAGGACCCTGGACTTGGGAGGTGGCTGGAATGCTGCAGGCGGACATGTTTAACTTTTCCCCTTGTTAATACCCTGAACCTGTATAGAATGTCTGCTCTACAAGCAGCCACAGCTGGGACTCTCACAAAGGTCTTTTGAGCATGCACCAGCACCTACCTGCAACCCAGGTCCACCTCTGGTTGCCGACTAGGAAATCTAGGCACTAACTAGCAAGTTCTGCAACTTTTGGTTTTAACTTTTTTTTTTCCTCCCCGAGGGAGTGGTGTGAGGTGTGTCGTACCTCCATTCATAGCTATCCATTCCTACGTCTTTTTTTTTTTTTTTTTGAGAAGACTCCCACTGTAGGCCAGGCTGGCCTTCATCGAGTCTCTTGTTGGGCCTGTGTTGAAGTCAGAAGGTGCCTCACTTTCGCGGGCTAAGCTGGTTTTACCCCTGGGCTCTAGCACTGTGAGCCTCCTTCCCGAACTCTTGTGGACCGTCTCAGCCCTCCACCGACCTCGATTTCCTAAGAGGTAGGCGGTCCTCTCGCACGGAAGCAGCTGCAGACGCGGCCCAGTCCCGGTTTCTGAATCCTCCAACCAGACCCAGAGTCCCAGCTCCCACCCACAAGTGGGACCGCGCCCGAATCCTGCTGCAGAACCCGGGCGGGTTTGGGCATGCTGGTCCCTCAGGCCGCCGGGTTCCCTTTCCCGAGGGCCTGGCTCTTGCTGGCCTGACCTGGGCCCAGCTCACCTTGTCGGCGATCTCCTGCGTCTCGGCCGTGGCCGGCTGCGTGGCGGACGGCGCGCCACACATCATCTTGACTGCGGTGGACCTGGTGACACAGACAGGCGAAGAGGAAGGAGACAGCTCGGAGCCCTCGGTGCCGGGACCCTAGAAGAACCTGGCTCGGCTCCGCCCCCGGGCGCGTGGCACGTGACAAAACGACGGGGCGGGGCGCCGCACCCTCCCTCTCTCCAGTGTCATCACCCTCGGTCCTAGGCAGTCATGAGACCCGGACTGGGCGTGGGCGCAGAGTGCGGCCTCGTGGATACCTCAGGTCCCTTCCCCAAGTCTGGGAGTGGGGATCGCCCCTCAATAGTGCGCAGTGACTGGAGGAGTATCTCTGACTGGCTAGGAGCATCCGAACCCTCACACAAGATGCAGGGATAAGGGGGGTGGGGAGGGGACGGGGTCGTCGGTCTCATTCTTTCCATGAAATGGGTGGACACGAAGTCTAGCCTTAGCCATCTCAATTCCCCCTTGCCCTGTGGACATGAAGAGGGGGCCTGGGGGGGTCCCTAGCCCTTCTTCCATGGGGTGGGCACAAAAACAGAGATGACCGAGGACTTAAAGTCCCAGTTCTCCCCTGGTGTTCTGAGTTTGTGGGTCCTGATAACCCCATGAAATAAGAGCCTATGGGGATCCCCCATGATCTGAACTGGGAAGTCCATTCTTCCTGAATGAAATGGGTGTGGACATACTTAGCTTTGTTGGGCTGTAAGGGCTTGGGTATCTCAGCCCCACCACCGGGCTCAGAATGGGGTGGTCCAGACCCTACTCTCTCTTACCTAGTACAGGCTGGGAACTGTAAGGACCCCGGATATGCCCTGTGTCAGTGGTCTTGTTTGAGTGACTGTTAATCCTGAGATTCATTCACACCAGAGAAAAACCAGTTCTACCATTTTGACCAAATTTAAGGAAGCTTTTATTAAAGGGTTAATACTGACCAAGATGGAATTTGGTCGGGACCACCACTTGAAGACACATGTTGGCAGAGCTTATAAAGACAAAACCCAAAGGCCACCATACTTTGCCATGAGACTTTGTTTTCAAGAACTAAAACTCCAGGAAGTTATTCCGGAAGCATTCCGGGAAGTTAACTGGTCCTTGGGCAGGTGGAGTTTACAGGTTAACTTAGGGTCTAACATGACCTTCAGTCCCAATCCTTCTGCTGCTTGTTTTTCCATTGGCCAAAATATCAGAATTTGATAGCTGGAAGTGACGGTGCATACCTGCTATCCCAGCTCTTGAAAGGCTAAGCATGCTAGCCGGGTGAGGCCTTGTCTGAAAAAATTTTTAAAAATTTGGGGCTGCAACGGTAGTTCATTCTAAAGTGCTAGCCATGCAAGTTTCACAACCTGAATTTGGTCCTCAGAACCCAGTTAAAGAGTTGCTGGAGTTAAGAACACTGGCTGCTCGACGGGCGTTGGTGGTGCATGCCTTTAATCCCAGTACTCGGGAGGCAGAGACAGGTGGATCTCTGAGTTCGAAACCAGCCTGGTCTACAAGAGCTAGTTCCAGGTCAGCCTCCAAAGCCATAGAGAAACCCTGTCTCGAAAAAAAAAAAAAAAAAAAAAAAAGAACACTGGCTGCTCTTCTAGGTGCTGTTCAGTTCCCAGCACCCACATTCCAGGGGATCTAATGCCTATCTGGCCTCTGTGGGCACCAGGCATGCAAGTGGTGCTTAGACATATATGCAGACTGTGGTGGTGGCAGTAAAATCCAAACTAAGACAGAAGTTGGTACCAGGGGTTGGGGTATTGTTGTGATAGACCTGACTATGATTTTGTGTAAAGGAATGTGGATTTCGGGTTAGAAAAGCAATTGAGGCTGGACATTGGTGGCGCACGCCTTTAATCCCAGCACTGGGGAGGCAGAGGTAGGTGGATCTCTGTGAGTTCAAGGCCAGCCTGGTCTACAGAGAGAGTTCCAGGACAGGCTCTAAAGCAATACAGAGAAATCCAAAGAAAGAAAGAAGGGAGGGAGGGAGGGAGGGAGGGAGGAAGGAAGGAAGGAAGGAAGGAAGGAAGGAAGGAAGGAAGGAAGGAAGGAAATTGAACATTTTAAGTGGAATTTAATGGACCATACTAGTAGGAGCATGGAAGACAATGGTGCAGAGCATGATTTGAACTGTGGCGACCTGGCTCTGGAGGTTTCAGAGAAGAGTATTTGTATGTAGCCTAGAGACCATTCTTGTAATATTTTGGCTAAGAATAAAGCTGCCTTGCCAGGCGGTGGTGGCCCACGCCTTTAATCCCAGCACTCGAGAGGCAGAGTCAGGCGGATCTCTGTGAGTTCGATGCCGGGCTGGACCAACAGCCTCCAAACAATACAGAGAAACCCAGTCTCGTAAAACCAAAAAAACAAACAAACAAACAAAAAACCTCCTGATGTTCTGATGTTAAATGGAATAAAGGGAGTGGCGACCTCAGGGCAAGATCCCACCCAGTTAAGCTACCAATGTGTGAAAAGGAATTAAAGAAAAGCTTAGATCCGGGTATGGCGGTGCACACCTTTAATCCCAGCACTAGTCTGAAGCCAGCCTGGTCTACAGATGGAGTTTCAGGACTTCAGGACAGCCAAGCTTAGTCAGTGAAGGAAACCATCAAACACAGAAAGCTGGTGAAGATGCCATTGAACAAAGGGGCCGTGTTCTAGCCCCAGAAAGCAGCACAACTTGGCAGGTTTAATCACATGGTTCTGGCTTTAGAGTCAAGGACGGAAGAAAGGGGATATGGACTCCCCTCCGAGATTAAGGAAAGCCACTGAGGCCAGATGTGTGGCAGGTGTGTGGCTGCATGGAGGCCTAGAGAGGCCACTGTGTGCAGCTGTGAAGGTGAAGCCTGGTTGCCTTGGAGACCCCAAGGTGCTGGAGATGTCAGAGCCATGGGACACCTGCAGAGAAAAGCTGTTAACAGGGAGTGGAGCCAACCCAAGAGAGTCAACAAAGCTGAACGGAGTTGGAGATCTGGAGAGTGCTTTAACATCAGACACGGAGATGCAGAGTTTGGAGCTCGCCCAACTGGCTTTTGGTCTTGCTTTGGTCCGATATTTTCTCACTATGCTCCCTTTAATGTTTTGGACTAGTAATGTATGTACTGTTCCATTCTATGTTGGAAGTATGCGATCTGCTTTTTGATTTTGATTTTACAGGGGATTATAATTAAGAGATTGCATGAGTCTCAGAAGAGACTTTGAACTTTGGATTTTTAAGCAAGTTTGACACTTTTATAGACTATGAGGTGATTTAGGACGTTCTTCCGCTTTCTGTGACTATGTGTTTCTCTTATTGGTTGATGAATAAAGCTGTTTCAGCCAACATCCAGGCAAAATATACCTAAGCGGAATTCTAAACAAGATAGAGGGAGAAGGGAGGCAGAGGAAGGAGATGCCATGTAGCTGCTGGGGAGGCAAGATGCCAGGACATCACCGGTAAGCTACAGCCACGTGGTGATACACAGGTTAATATAAATGGGTTAATTTATATAAGTGTTGCCATGGGCTAGGCAGTGGCGGTGGGTGCCTTTAATTCCAGCCTCCAAACCAATACAGAGAAACCCTGTCTTGAAAAGCCGGAAAAAGCCGGGCAGTGGTGGCGCACGCCTTTAGCCTTTAATCCCAGCACTCGGGAGGCAGAGGCAAGCGGATCTCTGTGAGTTCGAGGCTGGGCTGGACCGATAGCCTCCAAAACAATACAGAGAAACCCTGTCTCGAAAAAAAAAAAAGGTGGACATCTCTTGAGGAATGACACTTGGATTTCTTTTCTTCTTTTTTTTGTTTTGTTTGTGTTTTTCGAGACAGGGTTTCTCTGTGTAACCCTAGCTGTCCTAGAACTCTCTCTGTAGACCAGGCTGGCCTAGAACTCACAAAGATCCACCTGCCTCTGCCTCCCAGGTGCTGCAATTAAAGACATGGGCCACAATGCCCATCTTGACACTTGAACTTTAATTCTGGTCTCCATGTGTTTGATTCCATATGTGGACCCACACAGGTGTACACACACACACACACTAATAATGATAATAATAATAATCTATGAAATTAAAGAATAATTTACAACCTCAGCAACTTTGGGAGAAAAAGAAGGAAGACGTTTTAACCAGTTAAGCATTTGCTGATGTAGTGAGGAAAACAATATTAAGCAGGAACCTGCAGGCTGCAGAGTAGGGGGCATGTGGGCCAATCAGTGTACTGCCTCCCATGGTGGGATTGCACTGGGTTGGCTGGCAGGGGACACCCACATGAAGCAGACAGTGACTTCCCTGGGAACCTCATATGTGAGCCATCTCTGAGTGGGCAGAGGACTCACAAAAAAAGGGGGTAAGCCAAAGGGGGAAATAGATGCATTATATTTTACTTTTAATATTTTTCTTCTGTGTGTGTGTGTGTGTGTGTGTGTGTGTGTGTCCCTGTGCTTGTGGGGAGGCCTAAGGTACTCGGTGAGGCAGGTTCTCTCAGTTGAAGCCATGAATTGGAGATAAGCAGAAGTTCAAGTTCTTTTTTAAGCCTAGAAACACGGAAGGAATCAGGAGAGGGGATGTGGACCAAAGGAGGGTAGTTGCCTCTCTGCCTATGGCTGCGGAATCTGATGCTGACAGGCTTGGGCCACAGAGTGACCTGGTGTCCTGTGCCTTTGGGAGTTCCCCAGCAGACAGACGGCTCTTTCCTGACACTGCCTTCCAGGTGCCCACACTTCCCCAGTAGGAGGTGAGCACCTGTGGAAACAGGCAGGCCAGTCCCCGTGAAAACAAGTAAGGCTGTTTATCCAGGGTTCGGTGTGGGAGGGAGTCTGCATCATCGTGCGGGCAGAGACCGAGGCAGGCAGGAGAGGGGAAGGTGTCATGACTAGAGCGGGTCCTAAAAAGTTGGACTCCTTGCCTGTTTCTCTAGGCAAACCCTCTGTCAGTGAGCTGCACTCCAGGCTCTTTACTTTTCATTTTGGCATAGGGTCTAAGTTGCCCAGGCTGGCCTCGAACCCATTCACCCATGTGAACCGAGTGAAATTGAAGGCAGTTGCTCTTGTCATCCTTGGGCTTCGGATTCTCCGGCCTCAGCTTTCTGAGTAGCTGTAGTTGTGGGCTTTTGCTACCAAGTTTTCCCCAAAGATGACTTAAAGATCGTCACAAGCGGGCTCTTGGCCCCCCCTGTTTTCTGAGAGTTGAGCCTAGAGTTGAAAGACCAAAGCTTCCTAAACTCAGGATAAACAAACCCACACATACAGACTTTGCTCAGTTCTGCAAGATAGGAAGTGTGTCAGCATGAGGTCCGGGCTGAAGAGGCTGCTGGTAGGGAAAAGCACACACCTCTCCGTGGCTGACTTGCTCCTGTGAACCTCCTATAGCCATCTCCTCAGGAACCCCAAAGCTGTTTGACAACAAACCAGGAAAGGCCCCCCTCCCCCACCCTTAAACCATCCTGGAAGCATAGACCTGCCATCCCAGCACTTACATGGCTGAATCAAAATGAGATTTGATGGGTAGCCTAGACTATCTAAAAATAATGAATCCGGGCTGGAGAGATGGTTCAGCCATTAAAGGCTAGGCTCACAACCAAAAAATATCAAAATAATGAATCCCTGCTTTGGGAGTGTACGGTGTCTATATTGTTGGGGAATAGTCTTATGACTCACATTCTTACAGATCAGACTGGACTGGCTAGCTTGAGCCCGAGGAATCCTCCTCTCTCCACTTCCCCTTTGCTGGAGTTATAAGCTCCCATCCTCATGCCTGGCTTCTTTTATGGCACTGAGGATCTAATTTGGGTCTTTATGCTTGCAAGGCAAGCACCCTGCCAAATGAGCCTTCACCTCAGCCCTGTAACGTCTATTCCAAGGCATATTTCTGTGTACTGCATTGCTGTGTTGATGAACTTCACGTCAGAGAGTCCTGCTGAAATTCTTTTTTTTTTTTTTTTTTTTTTTTTGAGGCTTTGGAGGCTGTCCTGGAACTAGCTCTTGTAGACCAGGCTGGCCTCGAACTCACAGAGATCCGCCTGCCTCTGCCTCCCAAGTGCTGGGATTAAAGGCGAGCGCCACCAACGCCCGGCTTCCTGCTGAAATTCTTGACCAGGCTTAGTCTTTTTCCGTTTTTTCCCACACAGTTGTGACATGCCTGCTCTGGCACATGGGTTTGCCATTTTGTTGCTGGCCCTGCCACCAAAATGTGAAGCCCCTTCAAGGCAGGGAACTCCTCTTTCTTACAGTGACAGTAGGTCACGTGGTGACACATACCTTTCATCCTAGTGCTGGGGAGGCAGAGGCAAGCCAGGGCTACATAAAGAAACTATGGGAGAGGGGAGTGGAGGGGAGAGGGATAGAGACGAATAAAGGGGACCTTCATTAGACAGTGTGAGGAGGTTTGAAGGAGAGGCAGGGATAGAGAGAGCACCTTAGAGAAATCTCTCATAACTTCCCCAGCAGGTGAGGAGCCTGGTCAGAACTCGAAGCCAGCTTTGAGCTAGGCAGCAGAGTTGTCTGCTCAGAGTGGCAGAGGTAAGGAAGGACATTTATCTACAAGTCCCTGTGGCCTCCATAGGAGGTAAAGAGTCGTGTGCAGGGGAGGCAAGGCCTGATTTCTGAGGGGAGGGGGAGGCATCTAGACATGGCCTCTAACTTTTCCAGCCTTCTCACTCGCATAAACAAACAAAACAAGGGAATGAGTCCTTGGAGATGGGAGGTGGGGCAGGAGGGCCGGGGATGGTGTGTGTGTGTCAGGATCCAGGAACTTCTTCCTTGGTGTCTTTCATAATGGCTTCCATCTCTCCTGAAGATCCGTGATCCTGACCATTCAGCCTTATCTTCATCAGACCTAGGAGTGAGCGCCTAGCCACGTGGGACGAGAGGTGATATTTCTACATACAGAAGGTGACATGTGGCTCCAAGCAACTGCCAGCTACAGCCCCAAAGAAGGCAGAACCCCGTAAAGATAACAGCAAGCCACAAACGTGTGCCTAATTACAACAAGTGACACCAGAGAGGGGGAGAGTTAGAATACCGCAGGTCCAAAGCCAGAAGCTCTCTTGGGCTCCTTTCCCCTATGTGACAGCCAATCTGTCACCTACCTCTGTGTGTGACTTGGCATTCTTGTTGGAGCTCCAAAGCTGCTTAATAAAGTTATCTGTTGGAGCTGGAGAGATGGCTCAGAGGTTGAGAGCACTGGCTGCTCTTCCAGAGGTCCTGCGTTCAATTCTCAGCAACTACAAAGTGGCTCATAATCATCTATAATGAGATCTGGTGCCCTCTTCTGGTATCCATTTGAAAAAACAAAGTTAACTATCAGGACATTTATACAAATCCAACCCCACTAACCTCTCTTTTCTCAGATGCCCTCACAACCTCCCCTAACATATCTTAAATATTAAAAAACAAGATCTCTCAGAGTGCCTCATGTTGTCCTCAACTCCCTCCTTAGCAAATTTCATTCAAAATTTGCTCACCAGAAATTCTGGGGAGCCTTCCTGATGTGGGATGCCCCTCTGTATGCTGTGAATATATTCTGTTACCACTGGTTAATAAAGAAGCTGATTTGGCCAATGGCCAGGCAGAATAGAGCCAGGCAGGAAATCCAAACAGAGATACAGAGAGAAAGACAGCAGAGTCAGGGAAATGTCATGTAGCTGCCGGAGGACTAAGATGTCAGAAAATTACTGGCAAGCCACGGCCATGTGGTGATACACAGATTAGTAGAAATGGGTTAATTTAATTGTGAGAGCTAGTCAGTAATACGCCTGAGCCATTGGCCGAACGATTATAATTAATATTAAGCCTCTGAATGGTTATTTGAGAACTGGTGGGCAGGAGAGAAAAGTCTGGTTACACCTTCCTACACCTTCTGACCTATACCTGTGATTATTCCTTCAATAAGTGAGGGTTTGTTTGCTTGTTGAGACAAGGTCTCACTTCATAACTCTGCTTGGCCTGGAACTCACTATGCAGACCAGACTGGCCTGGAATTCACAGGGATCCATCTGCCTCCGCTGGGTGGGGCTAAAGGCATGTGCAGGCATGACTGGTTTAAACAGCTGTTTGACTTGTAGGCAACCCTCCAGTCTACCTGCTAACCCAATTCACTCCTGGCTTCCTTACTATGTCCTCATGCATGATTCCAGATACTGTCCTCTGCTTCTGAGACTCCCACCTGGTTAGCTGATAGGAGATAAGGAGGCCCCACCCTAGTCCTACTACACCCAGAGTCCTGAATCCAGCATCCAGCATCCCTTGAGCCTCCTCTACCTCCCTTCCCTATAAAACCATCCCTCTATTTCACACACACGTGGCTGCAAGTGTTAGATCCCAGATCCCTTAGCTGCACACCCCACCCAACCTAGGACATCCTCTCCAGCAGTTCTGGTCTCTTCTTGTCCTACGAGGATCCATTCCAGAAATCTCAGGTAAGGACCTGGCTGCCCAGAACCTCTGACCCACCTCTCTTTTCCTTCGTAAGATCTTTCTTTGGGCCGGGTGCTAGTGGCGCACACCTTTAATCCCAACACCAACACTCGGGAGGCAGAGGCAGGCGTATCTCTGTGAGTTCAAGGCCAGCCTGGTCTACAGAATGAGTGCTAGGACAGCCTCCAAAACTACACAGAGAAACCCTGTCTCGAAAAACAAAAAACAAACAAACAAAAAAGATCTTTCTTTGGGTCCCTCCCCTGTAGTAGACCACATGGAAACTGAGCAGTCAGTCAGGATCTTGGCTGACTCCCTGTTTGACATAACCCAACCCTGGCATCTTCAGGAATCAGACAAATACAGTTTCTTCTATTACCTGGAGTTTAGAGGATAAGACCTGGGAGCAACTGCCCCCTCCTACCTATCCATTGTAGAACATTCAAGCATTGTACTTGGGCAGCTGATTCTGGACAAACCTGGCTTGAGTAAATACAGATCTTTGTTCTTGAGATTTGCTCTGTTGAAAAGCAATTAATGAGAAATAACCATCTTTGTTCTTGAGATCTGTGGACTTGAAAAGCGTCTTGTGACTTGACAGTTAAGACCAGGTTTATTGTAGTGGTTTGAGGTATGGCTCCCATAGAGATGTGGTTGAATGCTTGCCCCGTAGACAGTGGCACCATTAGGAGGTGTGGCCTTGTTGGGAGTGGCAACCCTTTCCCCAGGTGAGTTTCTTCTAGAAGGTGAAAATTTCCTTGGGGTTTCCATGTGCAAATGGTTGACTAGAGTGTGCAAAAACTAGCAACTCCAGCTTCCCTCGTTCAGATATCTACAGAGACCTCCTATGGACACTAGCTACCCCGTCCCTGTGTTGTATACAAAAAACGAGCTGAAGTTCCAGGTTGCAATGGTAGTAGGTGTCTCCATCAGAGTGCACACACCTCATCTGACTCCACGTTTCTGGACATGTGTCTGTGTGTTCATCCTTTCTTTATTCCCTCACTACCCCTAGTCAGGGTTCAGGACCCAAACCAAGCAGGACTTGGCATAGGCGTAAATGTGTAGGTAGATATATGTACTGTATGATATGTAATGCATGATCTGACAGTTAATATTAGGAATTTAAGATTGCTTGCCCGAAGCTGCTAGTAAGAAAGCTGGAACGACTCAGGAACATTGTCCCAATGACACTGATGTGGTTTATCAGTTCAATAAATTCTGACGCTGTGGAAAGGACAGACATGTTCTTGTCATAGTGCTTAGGTATGCCCTCTCCCCCTCCTGTCGCTCCACTTCCTCTTCAGGTGACATTGGACTTGGACAACAGTTCCTTCATCTTCTCCAACATCTAACTTTTTCCAAATAAAGCCACCTTCTTTGCTTGTCACTCTGATCCCAGGCTCAGCTGGTCTGTGGTGTGGCAACCAAACAGGAATGTTGGTCTCGTGAATCTTCCCAGCATTTGTGGTCTTGGGAAAACACCATGGTCACACCAAAGAAATCTGCAATTGTTCTAATCTGGCATTTCAGGCGTTGGGCTATATGGAAGTTTTTGCAATTGCATCCCAAAATGATTGTCTCCTCGCTCTTCCTGAACCAGGACACAGTCAGGGTTTGCACACTCTCTCTGCCCTCTCTAGCGTCTGCATTCACCTGCCCACAAGGTGTTCTGCGCCTTGTCCCCAAACCTGTGTCATGTTAGCTTTCTTGCTTTTCTCTCTGTCCTTGGAAAGAGTACGCTCTTCAAGAGGCTTGGCGGGGTGGATTTCCCTGGGAATCCGGATATATCTGGGCTCTGGGTAAGACCTGGTGCAGGGACAGGATGCTGAGCAAGGGGCGGCTCCACGCAGCCCTCCAGGGATGGGAGTTGCAGTTAAGGGCGGCCGGGGCCAAATCAAAACCTTCTTGTAATGAAGCCGCTCCTGCTGAGCACTATGCGGGTTTTTCAGTAAAGAGGAGGGCAAGCCCAAGACAACGCTCTAACCCTTCCAAGAATCAGAGCTGCCCCAGCCAGACACCACTTCCAGCTTCCCCGCAGGCTGCAGTTGCGCCTCCCGGACACTGAGGGGCAGCAGCGTGCGTCGGCATGGTTCTGGACGTTGGACGTTTAGCAGTGCTGTGTCGCAGTGCTGTGACGGCATGGCGCTGTCGCGCAGATGTGACGACAGCGCCTGTCGTCCCTCGAGCGCCCCAGCGGAAGCGCCGGGTGCGTGGTGCCAGGGTTCTCATCATGGCTCCTGGAGTGCCGCTCCCGCCGGAGATCCAGCTGGCGCAGCGCCTGGCGGGCAATGAGCAGGTGACGCGGGACCGCGCGGTGCGGAAGCTGCGGAAGTACATCATGGCCAGGACGCAGCGGGCCGCAGGTATGCGGGCGGGCAGGCTCGGAACGTCCGCCGCGTGGGTCCCCGGGGCCCGGGTTCGCCGATGTTTCTCCTGGCTCAGGCCGTCCCTGTCGGATGCACGCTTTTCCTTCCCCCGTAGTTCGCTCGTGCTCTTTGGCTCTTACCAGCGTTCTGTGTACTTAACGGAGTGGCCTCGAGCATCCCCTAACATGAATTGCTGAGTTGTTTCCATGCTTCTGGTCATCGAACAGCGACCCCCGCTGCCTACAGCCTCAGCTTCTCTTGGCTATCCCTTCACAGATGCAAATCCTAGAGTACCTGACCAGTGTATACTCTTTGGCTGAGGTCACGGCTCTATGCTTTAGGAAGCGCCACCGGGCAGTTTTCCATGCTGCAGCCAGAGAACCACAACTTGGGGGGATGAGCCTCACTGAATGATGTTTGTGTCCTTTGCAAGCCTACAGGAGTAACTTTCATCGTTTAATCTCTGAGGTGTAACAGAAAAGCCACAAATCCTTGGTCTAACACTGGCTTAATTATCACTGCATTAACTATGGGCCGCCATCCAGTCCAGGATGTGTTGAGGTTCTGAATTTTAGCCCTGTGAGACAGATACCTGTCGTTTAGCTGATATGAAGCTACCGGGGGTGTTTCTCTAGTCACAGGGATGGCAGTCCTGTTGGAGAATGTTTTGGGCAGGGGCTAGCTGCCCAATTCCTGCACAATATATGGTTTTGGAGTAATTCAGGCAGTCATGCTTCCTTCCAGCTCGGCAAGGCAGGCTCCAGGGTCCGCTGAGTGTATCACTGAGTCCACTGACTGTTGCTCTTCTGATTTAGGTGGTTTTACTCCAGATGAGCTGCTGAAGATATGGAAAGGGCTGTTTTACTGCATGTGGATGCAGGACAAGCCGCTGCAGCAGGTGAGCGCATGGGAAGGTAGCTAAAGAAACTGGACAGGAATAGATGTCGGACAGATGGACCGACATGTGTTTATCCTCCTTAATCATGGCCAGAGACTTGGGTAGAGTCACTCAGTTTATATCCCTTGTTGTGTGTGACTGGCCAGGCTGGGGCCTGTGGTAGGACAGTCCTGACACTTAGAAAGAGAATGGTTGGCTGACCAGAGCATCTTTTTTTTTTTTTTTTTTTGGTTTTTCGAGAGAGGGTTTCTCTGTATTGTTTTGGACCGTGTCCTGGAACTCACTCGAACTCACAGAGATCCACCTGCTTCTGCCTCCCGAGTGCTGGGATTAAAGGCGTGCGCCACCAACGCCCGGCTTGACCAGAGCATTTTAATGACATGGCGGCAAACAGTGTAGGCCAGGGTGGGCTGAAGTTGTAAACCCTGTGCTGATGCAGTGGAAAGTGAGGGCAGAATCCAGGTTTCCTGAGAGGGTATTTCGCCTGCAGGCCTT